ATCTCCTGACCTTGTGATCCACCCAACTTGGCCTCCCAAAGTGCTGGGATTACAGGTGTGAGCCACCATGCCTGGCCTAAAGCACTGAATTTTGATGCTTAAAAAAAGGTTTCGGAATAACATTTTGGCCAACTTTGTGAGAGGCCTCTGATTAAAAGCAAATTATTTTAACAGCTTTAAAAATAAAACCTCCAGCAGGATGTGGTGGCTCATGCCTGTAATCCTAGCACTTTGGGAGGCCAAGGCAGGCAGATCAATTGAGGTCAGGAGTTAGAGACCAGCCTGGTCAACATGGTGAAATCTGGCCTCTGCTGAAAACAAAAATTAGCCAGGCATGGTGGCACATGCCTGTAATCTCAGCTACTGGGGAGGCTGAGACAAGAGAATCACTTGAACTCAGAAAGTAGAGGTTACAGTGAGCAAAGATGGCATCATTTCTTTCTAGCCTGGGCAACAAGAGCAAGACTCTGTTTCAAATAAATAAATAAAAATAAAAATAAAGCCTCCATTTTAATTGTGCAAGTGCTGTATTTATACAGGGGCTCCCAACATCATCAAGACTAAAATATTATTGGTGGAATTTCTTTCATTGAAGATGACAAAAGTAACTGTTGGATTCCAAATTGTGGAAATCTGAAAGCCAATTTTATTATTTCAACAAGTTTTCATAGCAATATGTACACTGACATTCCGGTATGGGATACAACCCAGCTCACTGGACTCACACAGTCTCTCAGATTTCTAGACAATACATACTGGAAGCATAAATATGTTAGCATTTGAGGGGATATGTTAGTTGTTGTTTATTGCTTTTAAAATGCATTTGAGGAATATTAAAGATAATATAAGAAAGTGCTGAGAAATGATAATTCCAAAGTTTATTTCACAGATTTTGCATTTATACTAGGCTTTTAAACTTTGCAAACATGGAAAATTCTTTAATTGCTCATTTTTGGAGAAATATCTATTTTTTTGAAGAGTCTTGCTCTGTCCCCCAGTCTGCACGTTGCTCAGGCTGGTTTCTAACTTTTGGACTCAAGTGATCCACCCATCTCGGCCTTCCAATGTGTATTACAGTGTGAGCAACTGCTCGTGGCCTAGAGAAATAATTTTAATGGACAGAAACCAAAAATCATATCAATATGCCAGTAGAAACATCCTTAGTAAGATTCACTAATAAGAAGATGCTAGGAAGCTTCTAGTTCACATTTGATTTTGCGGAGGCTCAGGAAAAGATACCCCAAAGTATGGTACTTGACATGCCGAGTACTCAAAACTAAAGTATATTGGAAGGCCTCAGAAGCAGCATCAGGACTAACATATCTCTGACCTTCTCCTGCTCTCCTGTCCCTTGTCCCTTGTTCTTCCCTGAAGTGAGTCATAGAAACCAGAATTCCTCTTCCAAGTGAGTCACAGGAACTAGAACGCTTTTTCCCCAAAACAAGCCTTAAAACCTAGAATTATTACCACAACTTTCCTCTGTTTTTTTTGTGAAATACTTGCTCATAAAAAATTTATATGACTTAACTTGTCTCAAAGTAGAAGATAAGAACCGTGTTCTGGAAGGAGAATTGCCCTATATCCAGGAGGAAGGAATGCCACTGACAGGCCAAGAACAATTCAGACAGGTCTTGCTGGCTTTTCCCACACCATCTACGGCTATTAGATCATTTCCCTTTTTGTTCAATCATATTCTTACATGGCTGTTCACTCATCATTGAATCTAAGCATAAAAATGGAAAATTTTCCCTTGGGAGTTTGGGCTTCATTTCTGAAGGCTCTCATGACACATAAAACTTTGATTAAATAAATGTGTTATGCTTTTCTCTCATTAACCTGTCTTTTGTGATAGGAGGGTCAGTTGTAATCCTTATGATAAGGAAGAAAGATATCATGTCCTTTCTGCCACTATAATATGTTATCAAGTCCAGCAATAATTGGTGGTTGCAAGGTTAAATAAGGCTAAAAAATATGCACAGATATATAGGTGTCTCTGTATGTTACACACATATATACACATACACACACCTTTCTAAAGTTACCTATTCAACTACAAATTATATTCCCTAGGCATTTTACCTCTTTCGGTTCTCCATGCAAATCTTTTTTTTTGAGAAGGAGTTTTTGTTCCTGTTGCCCAAGCTGAGTGCAGTGGCTCCATCTCCGCTCACTGCAACCTGCTCTTCCCTGGTTCAAGTCATTCTCCTGCCTCAGCCTCTACAGTAGCTGGGATTACAGGCGCCATGCCTGGCTAACTTTTTGTATTTTTGGTAGATGGGGGGTCTCATCATGTTGGCCAGGCTGGTCTCAAACTCCTGACCTCAGGTGATCCACTGGCTTTGGCCTCTCAAAGTACAGGGATTACAGGCATGAGCCACTGCGCCCGGCCAGTTCTCCAAGTGAATCTTATTTTTAGGTTTAACTATTATGGCCCTCTCTCATCCTCCCTCAAACAAAACAAAACAAACACACAGCCAAATAAATAAATAAATAAATAAACTATAAAACAGATCATTATCATTTGTATTTAGTCTTCACCTTCATCCTGATACTTGTCAATTCTTAATTATTTCATGGAACAATTATTTTACCTTAATTGCTTAAATTTAAAGCTTTATTTGTGAAATGATAACTCCTAGAAAATAGGTTGGAGATGAATATGCCTACTGTGTGTTATGACTGCTTATTCAGAGCCTTGTACCTCTTAGGTAATCAAATTCTCTTGAGTCATTGACTAGATCTAGCATTGTCAGTTTGCCTAAAGGAAGGATACTGATGAGGTTAGGCTCCTTCCAAAGCAATCATATGGTTAATTGCATTAGTGTAAACCTAGCCTTTGTGATTAAAGCCTAGGACTTTCCTTTAGGTAGAGCAGGGCTTCCCTGCTTCAAGGCACTCCTTGGCGTATCTAGTACTCTCCAGGCCTTGAGAAAATATGCTGAGGCATCAGCATATTTCCCTGAGGAGTTGCTGTGTTTGGGAGATCATTCAATCATTAGACCACATTCAAAGAAATAGATTAATTTGAATATGTAAACACTAGATCACATATTCATATATATGCAACCTCTTTGAAAAGGTGATCATCAGAATGCAGATTTAAATAAACAAGAACATACTCAAAACTTGACATATTATGTGCTTGAATTTAATGTGAATCAGTCTTTGCCCAAAGAATTCTTTATGTGTCATCTAATGATGCCTGTATACTGCTACTGGTATGTGTTTCATAGATGTACATTAAAAAGACTATCTGCTCTGTTTTTGAATAAAATCCTATGGCTCATATTTTCAAAATTCCAAATTTAGTTATATCTCATAAAATTTGGTTAACATTTAGGCCACATTTATATGTATTTTATATAGATATATATAACATATATACACATACATCACACATACACACATATATAGGCACACATATACATGTATATATATGTGTGTAAATATGTACATAGATTAAATATAGTACATAAAACATTTCAAAACCTGTCATTAAACTTAAAAAAATATATACAGAATTAAAATTATTATTTCTTTCCTCGCCAGTGAAATGTTGGCTTCTGAGTTCACATTTTATAAAGAAATTCTAAATCATTAAGCAAGTAGAATACTATCCTTACTTTTTTAATTACCCAACATACTTTTGGGGTTTTCACAAGTGGAGGCTAGCATGCATTGATGATTAAAGAAAGAGCATCTATGTTCCAGTAATTCAAATCCAACACCATTTTGACTAGATATTTTAATATACTCATGGGAGTAACACAAGGGTAATTGATGATGAGTTCAAATTACTTGCATCTTATTCATCTTAAAATCAATCTCATAAGCTATTACTATCCTATAGGCAATAATATCATTCTCTCAATTGTAAAAACAATGAAGTTGTGTTAATCTTACTGTATTTACTGCTCCTCTATAACTCATAAAAACTGGCTTCTGTGTGTATAAAGCATTTAAGAAACCCCACTTCCTTAGAAATAGATGCAATCAATAAGATTTACCATTTTAAGAAATATTAATATAAAAAGGGGGTCATATTATAGTCTATTCTCATCATATTGCATTGTTTTCCAAACAATTGCCTTCATTTTCAGGGTGGATCTCTGAATGTTAATAGCAGATGTATCACGTGCAAAAGCTAGGAGCATGCGAGCCATGTTAGGCACATAGATTCTTTACAGGGAAAAATGTTACACAAAGCATATTGCATCAGGGGCTTGATTTCAGAAATGGAATATTTCCTTTCTGTTTTAGACCTGTCTGACTCAGTATTTCACACCACTCATAAAAAGATTGAATATTAAAATTGAATGCAAAGTAATAGAAAAACAAAACCTCTATTCCCCAATGCAAAAATCAAATATGCAAATATGAAAATGAGGGGACTCTGCTGTTTTCCCCTTACAAAACTGATTAAATTGTCACTGCTGGAGATTACATGGGGTTTTATTCCCTTTACAGCCATATTCAACTGGACAGACAAAAAAATATGTTGCCACAGACGAGACCCACCACTTGGGTACACTGTGCTTCCAGTTGTTGCGAGGTCCTGTCCAAAACTTTGCAGCTACCCTTTAAAAAAAGAAAAGTATTAGATGTTGTCATTTATGACAGACTAGATTGTTTCTGAAGTCCTTTCCAAGTTGGAGATTTCAGGACAAAAACTCCCACTTCTAGATCTTAGCCTGCAGTTTACTTCCTAAGTAACAAAACCTTCACCAACACATCCCCTTTTTATATATGTGTCCTATAAATGTATGTGCAAAAATATGTATGTGCATCTACATATGTGTGTGCGTGTGTATGTATATATACATCTCAGAGGATTTTTTCTTTTTGTGTTTACACTCTAGTTCCTAATTTGTGACTTTATTTCCTGGCTTAGCAGTTCTCACACAGAACCTCCCCCACCCCAACTCCTTTTTTCACCCAGTCGTCTCTTTCAGTTGGATATATTTGATTCTTGCAAAAACTGAATACAGAAACGGGGTTACCTGTGCTTCTCTCATGCCTTGCCATGGTTCTGAAATGGTTTTCGCTGTCTGCCTCGGTGGAATAGAAGTTAGCGCTCAGCGACGCTGTCGCTTGTCTGTGTCACTCTGCACTGGGGCTGAACAGAGAGCTGGCTCCAGCTGCAGGCAAGGGGCCTGTGTTAAGGACGCACAGAACTAGTTTGTTAATGAGATCATTTCTCCAGTGCAAAGAAATGTAGCCACAAGCACAGGGATATGTAACAACTAAAAGAGGTGGTAGGATGATGTTTTTGAATTGGCGTAATAAGGAAAAAAATAACGAAAAATGGTGAGCAGCAGATGTTTCATTGCAATGACAAGTGACTAGGAACAGGACTACTTGCCTTAAGATTTGTAGTAGACATGTACATGTTACTTTGCTGTAGAAAGGAAGAAATTGATCCTCAAAGAATTTGTAGGTGGCTTGATATGTGACTGGAAATATTTTTGTTGTCAGCAAAATAATGCTTACGGGTGTTTTTACTAAATAAGATCTCTACTGTATCTGTTGATGTAACTGTAATTTGAAAATTTTATTTCTCTGATAGGATGGTTCAGTAAACAATCAAGTTTTTCATTTCTAGAACCCAAACGGATAAATTTATCATGAAATCAAGTGATTTTTTTCATGCCAAAAGCTCCAAAATTTTTGCATTTGAAAACACAAACATATATATCATGCTTAAACAAAGCATTGTGTTTAATTCCGAGAAATTTAGAAATCAGTGCTTTCTAATATGACGTATGCCCTTTCTTGATTCAGATATCTTTTTGCTGTGAAAATTAAAAGCAGAGCTGTGTTCATTCCGCTGGCTTGAACATTTACATGTATCCTTTAGTCTCTGCCTGTGTTTGCTTTTTTTCTGTCTTTCCCATGTCTCTTTGTTTTCCTTTTGTCTTCTTCTCAAGACTTCCCATGGTTTTTGTTTTATCATATTGTTCTCTCCGCATTGTTCAACTGCTCTTTGACAAAAGTTCCATCATAAATCTAATTTTCTCATTTTTGTTTCATTTCCCTTATAGTTTTATGTTACTACGTTTTGTTTTTCTTTTTTGCGAGGGCATTCTGTTTGTTAGTGAAAACACAATTCCAAAAGTGAGTATCCTTACCTTAAAAAAATTTTTTTTTGACTTGTTTATTCCTTTTTCCAGTTCTGGCCATTTAAAATGATCTTTTCATCTATTGAATTGCCCTTTTCATTCCTAATAACCTTCTCTTTTAATTCTTCCCCTTATATGTTGATTTACTAGGTATCTTTTCATTACTAAAACCTGACCACCATTTATTCAACACTTAGTCTATGCACTATGTTCAATGCCTCACATCTATTCTCTTGAACTCTTAGTACAAATCTGAAAGGTAGACATTCTCATTCTCATTTGACACAGGAGGAGACAAAGGCCCAATGATTAAAGTACTGTCTGAAGACCACACAATAACTTTGATAGGAATGATTTGTCCACATAGCTATCTGACACCAAATCACCCCCTTTCAACTAATCCATATTGAGGCTCAAAATCAGAATTAGGTTTTGAAATTTTGTTATGTATTGGGTAAAATATATTCACTTGTTAAATTTAACAGATATATACTCTCAGTCTTAGTATGCATTTGTACCTGAAATAATTCAATATAAAATACTCCTTATATCTTCCTTTTGATAACATTTACCAACTTTAATTTTATTTGTGATGAAAGAAACCTCTAAACTCAAGTTACTATCTTCAACAAAATTTTTGAGACTCCAAGTAGCTCCAATTTTCCTTTGTATCACACCAATCTACTAATATATGGTTGTAAATGTACACAAATTGTAATAATAAGTTTCTACTAGTACTATAAACAAGAAAAGACAACACTAGAATAATAAACAGCCTGTGTTGTCTGCAAATCTCACAACACTCTATCAGCCTTTCCAGTAATGACATCAGTAATCAACTATGTTTTTACAGTTGTCAAAGTAGTGGATCAGACATCTAATCCCACTCTGCTTGCAGCTGCTTTTCCTCATCCTTCCCTCACTGTTTGAAATATGCCTTTTGGGAAAATAAGAAAATTACATATTCCCTTACATTCTTTGTTCAGATTTAGAAACTCTTATACTTCTTGCTATGATGATAACATGCAGGTGTCATTCTCTAAACAGGAAACATTGCAAGTTCCATAAACCCACTCTTAAATCATTACCGTTTTCTTCCTATTACTGCAATGATAACATATATGTGTGTATAACATACATACACATATACAGACATATTTACTTTTGAAAAGCAGACATATATTTGATATTCTTTTAGAATTACTGCAGCTATTTCTGTGAAGAAAGTTATATTTCTAGACTTTCGAAAAGAGTTTAGCAAAATTCTCTTTGATGGATTGCAGTCCTGAAAGTTGCTCTTGTATTAAGCTGCAATTAATGCTTGTACCCAGCAGTCTCCTAAGGAATTACAGAAGAACAAAGTTAGCAACTAGCAGGCCTAAAATAGCTGGAGAGCTTCAACCACAAGGATAGGATAACAGTAATGCAGTGACTAAGAGGAGAAACTGAGTAAGGAAATCTTCATTTCAAATTTCAGGTCTTAGCATTTGCTACCTTTGTGATGTGGGCAAGTTACCTAATTCTTCTAATGAGAAATGTCCTTTTAATATTTCTTTGATTAAATGGAGATAATGCCCACCTCAAAGGGTTTGGGGAAAATTTAACCAGTTAATAAATATAAAGCATCCAAACAGAATGGTATTTACACAGTAAGGTATAACAGACAATGGTCATCATTGTCACTATCATCATCTACGCAATAACTAAAAATGACTTTCTCTTTATTTTCTTCTTTTGTCATAATGTACTGAGCCATAAAGTTTTTTATGTACCTATGAGTAGCATTTAAGTTTCCAGTATTTTCCTGTTTTGGTTGGTCTCACCACGCTATAATGGCTATTATATACAACTCTTAGAGTAATTTTAAGATCACCAAAAAATCTGTACCAAGTGAAATGTACATGAGTCAGCTCTTCAACACATGTAGCAGAAGTTTCTAGGAATAAGCTCAATGCCTACACTATGCCACATAGAAGATGTTCAATAAATTACTGCTACAACTAGCTGAATTGAATGTGATATATTGTATTTGCCCAATGTAAACCATAAATTCATTAAAAGTATGCTTCATTCATGTACCTGTACATACATATATGCCTTTATTCATGTATTACATGTCTACTGTAAGATAGGGACTGACTCCAAATTAAGCTACAATGGGCAGGAGCTATTCCTTCTCTCTCTCTCTCTCTCTCTCTCTCTCTCTCTCTCTCTCTCTCTCTCTGTGTGTGTGTGTATACAGCATACATATATACATATATATCTATATATATGCTTTACTTTTTCATCTTTAAAAATTAGAGGGACAGTTTGACTTATAATGTCTCTAAGCAATACAGTTCTATGATTCTTGTCTAAATATATGATTTGTTTCTTAGAGAGCTTCCAGTAAAGCTGGTATACCTGGACCACGTCTACTCCTAATAATCAGATTTCCCAAACTTGGTATAATTGCAAGTGTTGATATTTATTACAGTTGACTATAACTATCACTATTTTTTCACCTACTACTCACTCTTAAATTTTATTTCAAAGTAAAACTGTTGATTTGAAAAACTGCTGTTAGGAAAACTCTGACACATCCAATTGAAAACATACTGGCTCACAGTAGTGAAACCTTGAAATGAACTTTCAAGATCTGATTACTCACAGCCTGACAAGTAATTGAAAAGATGGATATTATTATCATTGGATTGTTTGTTGTTTTGTTTTCATCACGCATTTCTCCAGGCTGTTCCTATATATCCTGAAAAGCAATCCATCTAAAGATAGAATTTAATTGATTGATTAAGCAAATATTTATTGAGTACCTGTTGTATGCCAGGCATTGTATTAAGTATTGAGGATACGGATCTATAATCTATATCCTCACCACTGTATCACAAAACCTATTAAATAGAAATTCTAATATGGATAAATCCATGAATAGCTACATTTAAAATTATCTGTAAGACATTCAAAAATACTAACCAAAAGCAGAAAATGTTAAATAAAATATTCAGCATGCTGTTTGTGTTGTTTTCTATTAAAAAAAAGGCTTCAAAATAATAGAAATTTCAGTTGTTCAAGCATAATGTACTTCTATTCATTTAAGTCCTTAAATCCAGATTAAGATCAGAGTTGATTCCAATGGGCACGTCCCCCCACCACCACCCTCCCACCGCCAGCCATTCATATTGAATTTTAAATTCATGTTAGCAACTGCCTATACAATCCAAGGAGGAAAAGGAGAGAATAGGGTTAGCGGTGGTGTTGGAAAAGTTTCTGAATGAAAATTTATAGTTAATCTCAGATGATGAGATTTTTTAGGTGTTCCTGTATCTACAACACCACACAGAGTTGTTTGCAAATAACAATTTGGAAACTTTTTGTTTAATTCACAATTAAAAATTTGCGACTGACCCTTTGCAAATAACCATTCAAACTGTAATAAATGAAAGCGATGCTCAGTTCTATAGTTTGTTCATCTGGAAGTGGAAGGCACAGGTTTACAGGGGGCACGTGTTTATAACATTGCTATGTGAAGGAAACAGGGGGAAATTGGCTATGATTAAACATGTGTAACTGGATGGCATAAATATTCTTGAGAAATAAAATTATCTATGTAATCTATAGATCTCACAGGAAGGGTGACCCTGTAGAACCAGAATCAAGGCTTTAGTCTGAATGATTGTAAGCATATGTAATTATTTCTTTCAGATTTATAACAACATTCTTGCTGTTAACAAATATAAATGTAACATTTACTAGGAAATAAGAGACTGCAGACGGAAATAAACAAACCTAGGATGTAGTTCATCTAAGTAAACACTGAGGTTATAAACCTTCCAACTTAAATATCAAGAGCCCTGCAAATTAATGCTACACACAATAGCCCCTTTGGAAGCTAACTTAATCCACCCCCCTGAATCTACATGAGGGCCATGCATAACAATGCAGGAGCTGGGTTTCCATTAAGCGTTTCCTCCACAGGCTGTCAGCTGTTTGAAGAAATAACAATTTCCTAGGCATGAAAGCTTTTTCAGAAGGTTCCCACTGATGTGTAATAAAAGTGACTTTCCTTTTTTTTTCTTCTGCTTCTTACTTTCTCC